GACTGTATCAACGAGAGTCTGTTTGATGAAAGCATTTTAGTACCACTTCAGTCTCCTCCCAGCGTAACGTCCAAATCAGGCTTTTCACTGAAGTTCAGCGTACGAGTTGACAGCTGTTAAAGACTTAAACCTACTTCCTCTTCCTCCAGGGTGTTCTCATGTATTCTGTGTCTGGCAAGATGGTTCTCCCAGCGGCCAAAACCATCATGTCCTCAGCTCGCTTTCTTTGGCAAAATCCTTCTTCCCTCAGTCTGGCAGTGTGAAGGGCTGCTGAGAGGCATCATGCTCTCTCCTGGAGGCCATGGGCCTATTCCATTGTTCTCTTCCTTCCCTGGAAGCGTCTGCTGCTAGCCAGGAAGATAAGGGGACTCGGGCTGCCCTTGACAAAGATAGAACATAGAACAGAATATTTCAATTGGAAGGGACCTACAATGATCATCTAGTCCATGGCAGGCACCTTCGTCTCATGCGTTTCAGGAAGGCTCTTTGGCAAACCCATCTCAGCACGGTCTTTACCTGTCCCTGCCAGGTGAGGACTTGCCTTTTCCACTCTCCGAGGCTCCTCAAGTGACGCGTGTCCTGTCCAGCAAGGACGTTGTTCCCTCGGCTCCAGGATTCGGTGTGTGGATCCCGGCGGGGCTGTCGTTTGAGCCTTTCTAACCCTCCGGGGCAGTGGAGGAATGCAGGCACTGATGAGCAGTTCTTCTGATGCAGCATCCTTCTCTTCTTCCCCTGCCCTATCAGTCAGGAGCAGAGAGGCATTCAGCCCCCCCCCCGTGATGCTGATGGACATACGGACAGGGCCCTGAGGAAGAGGAGGACGTTCTTTCTCAGTGATGGGAGCTCTCTGAGATATATCTTGGCTGTCCACATCATCCTTTCGCTTGCACGATTGCATCTTGAGCCTGTGGCTGCGAGGACAGTATCTGCAGCAGTCGCTGGAGCTATTCCCAAAAGAAAGCAGCTCTTTTGAGATCTGCAGGCAGCCAGAGACATGCACTCCGTCCTTTGTTTCCCCCTCGATACTACACTAGTTCATCTTGTTGGGAGGGAGGTGTGCCAATTCTGCCATGATGAAACTGGAGGAGGAGGGAGCCGGTGGGGTAAGCCGGGTCGCATCGCTGATAGCTCTTCCTCTCTAGCCAGGCGTTGCTGGTCTAGGATTTGCTTCTGAAAAGGTATCCTCGTAGGGCATCCGGTAGCGATGTCAGTGTACCTGCCCGTGGGGATCGGGGGCTGCGGTGGCCCTTCAGGAGGAGCTCATGAGGACTTCTTTGTGTCTATATACATGAACCGGACCTTTTATTTCGTCTGCTCCTCCTCACCCCCAAAATAAAAGCCCTGTTGTTTTTTTAAGGTACAAGTTGAATAGCCATGGGGTGTCACACCTCTAAACATGGAGCTCTACTGGCTTCTCTCCTAAAAGTTGCTCTAACTGAAGAGTTGTTCCACGTCCTCCTCCGTTACGATGATCATTCTGGAAGGGGATGGAAAACAGCAGGATTTTGTATGGTTGAATGAGAAAACTGACATAAGGCGGTGTGTACCAGAGCTAATCTATAATTCATCATGATCATTCAAGGCTTTTAGAGAGCAGAGGAGAGAAAGGCAAGGGAGCTCTGACAAATGGTATAAAGACCCTGCACGTGGATGTAGCCAGCGAGGGCTGTCACTTCCGATGAGCACGGGCAGGCGGTGCAGGGCCACCGGGGAGAGCTGGGCTCCCGGTACCTGCTGATGAGGAGGGGCTGCATTTGCAGATGACTAGAAGCGACTATGGTACTGACATCTCATTATTTCCAGCTTTGTTGCTTGCTTTCCGGTCGCTGCTAATGTACCAGGCCCAAATTCCTTTGTGTGTTACTGCCTCGGGGGCCTCTGGCAGCTACTGCATCTGGGGGAGGATGTCCAGTAGGGTTGAGTGCTTACTGTTGACTGGTTAAGACCGGCAAGGCTAACAACCGTCAGGGAGAGGAGAGCTTGGACCCCAATCTGCTGGTACTGGCTTTCTACTGCTGGCAAAGTCAGGGACACGGCTGGATTGTCGAGGCCCACCACTGAGTTGTCAGCAAGAGAGGGTTCAGCCTGAAAACAGCATTCCCGGTCCCCTCAGGTAGCTGGCATTGCTACAGCACTGCCCAGCCTGGCTCTAGGTGTGCTTGCAAAAGGCAGCGCCGCACCAGCCGGGAGCCCTGGGCCGGCATTTTGTTGTAATGCAGAAGGCCGGGTGGTTTGGAGTTGGATCTCCTCCCAGGGGAGAGAGGGTCTGCTTCTGCGCTGCTTCTCGGGTCTGTGGCTCCGGCTCTGTGGGTGCGTTCCTAACTGTGTCTGTCTTGTCAGTCCCGCGCAGGCTCTCTGGACACATCCCCGTAAAGCAGATAAGGAAGAGTGGCAGTTCCCCAGAAGAGAGGGCTTGTCTGGACACGGCAGGGCTCTCGGCAGGAAGGCAGCTTCTCTGTCGTGCTGGGTATTGCATAGCTGTGGCTGCTCTCTTCCCAAAGGAGGCAAACGCAGCCTGCGCCACTCCGGCAAGGGCCAGCGGAGCAAGGGAAGCTGTTGGCTCTCTGAGGAGGTCACACCTGGAAACCGTGTCCAGTTTGGGCCTCCCCCCCAGTCCCCCAATTCAAGAGGGATGCAGGGATGCTAGAGAGGGTCTGGTTGGGGCTCCTGGGCTGGTCAGGGCTGGGGGCAGAGGGCCTGGGAGGAGAGTGGGGAGCTGGGGCAGCTTGGTGTGGTGAAGAGGCGGCTGGGGGCATATCTAATCACAGGTACAGCGATGTGAATGGCAGTTAGGAAGACGATGCGGTCAGACTCTTTTTGGCAGCCGTGGCAGGTGACGTAATAGGG